GCATTTGACGCGGGTAGGCCTCCAATCATCCTAATGCAGCTCTGTCAATTTTAAATTTAGTTAGTCATTCTTTTTTTCTGCTGACCAACGAGGTGCTGACACTCCAGAATATGCGCAAAAGAGGAAGTCAATTGAAAAATGAACTGTACTCCTGTAGGTAGGTTCTGCTTTTCTTTCCAGTGATGGAAAGTGAGGAGCCATCGTGTACCATTTCCAGGACACATGATGCAAGCAAAGCATTTTTTAAAAAACCAAAAGTACATTTTACCGTACAAAGGTGATGATTGGCTAATGATGGGTCAAAGCAGGTCAGGGGGATCATGATTGGATTACAGGTATCTATTACAGTTCCAGTACTAAGCTTCTTTCACTCCCTACCACCCCCGCTTATTGACGTTTAGCTTTCCGATACCAAGAGTTCTATTATGGGCTGTTAACATAATGCCTCTTTGGCCTCGCTAACGCCGCCTTGGGTTCCCCAATTATCAAAAACATACTTCCTAGAGTGTCCGTAACAATATAACGCTGCCTAGTCCACTCACCTTTTGGTAGCAGATTTAGTGATGATTAGTCCGTCTTTCATCATTCCTAAAGTCTTGTAGAGAAGGTTTGCATACTGGCAGCACAGTGCATGCGCTCCCACCGGCAAGTAGCATTCACGGTCTTACTTCAAACTGTTTCAAATTCTGAATATCAGCAGTGTGTAGGGCAACTTTGACTCCTGGTAATGATGAATCACCTCAATGTCTCCAGTAATACCCGAGCAGAGCCACTGGCCTCAGTTCAGCTACAGTGCACTCTTCATAATTACGTGGGTCCCTGCTGGATAGTGAAACTTCACTGAGGAGGTTCAGGTTGGCATCCTGAATTAATTACATTTTTATGAAGTGTTTTAATTTAAACGGGGAAACAATGGAGGTAACACTTGGACGCACACGTGGGCACAGTTAGTGGGGCGTCGCTGGTCAGAAAAACTGTAGTCTATAAAATATGGAAATTAACATTATTAATACAGCGATGATAAGACGTCACGTACATCTCAGGTCTAGACTGGACTCCGCTTTTGAAATTCACCTCCACATAAATCAAACTCAGACGGATTCTGCCGCACAAGGTTGACGCTTTCACTGAGATGCTAATGCTACCATGATGACGTTTTTGCATAAAGCCAACCTGAGCTGACCTACCTGACGAGCTGACGGCGCGCGTCAACATGAAATACAGCTTGTTGAGCTAAACAAAGCAAAGCAGACCGATGTACTGAATGAAGCAGAACGTAGCGGGTGTCACGCTGATCCTGAGATGTCCTAAAATGGCCACAGCTGGCGTGCTGGCTTAATGGTACTATGCACAATTGAACACATGTGGAAAACGGATGTCTGTCATTTGGGGAGCCAGTCTCCTATCTTCTTCTGAAATGCCCAGAGGTTAGGGAAACCAAAAGCAGATAGAAAGTGGACATGGGAAGAGACCAGACGGAATGTTTTGTCCTCCTCGTTATTTATGCCTCCGGGCCGCCTTAAACAAGCGCATCATACAGTATGTTGTTCATTATCTGCAAATATTGGCTCCATCCACAAAGTTTCTCCAAAGGCTTTTTTTTATTAACAGCAAATTTACCATTATTGATTTCAGCTGCATGCTCGTTGGTCTTAATTTCATAAGCTTTTGATCAGCTCGCGATGATTCTGTTTAATAAATAAAAGTGCCTTCAAGTCTGCGTTGATAATATGGTAATTGGCTGTAACAACTGAAAAGGAATTTGGATTAGGATAAAGAAGTTTCAAGATCAAATCTTACTTCTTGTATCGAACCCATTTTCCTTTCCTTTTCTAATGCCTTCTATTCACATCTAGCCCTGATACCTAACATCTAAATAGAAAATCACCACCATCCATAAACATGTCTTCTCATGTAATGGGAAATGGAGGGGACTGATGTAAGTAGATAAAGAGGACAGGGAATGGAATGGTTCTTCTATACCTCATTTACCAGCAAACCGCTTAGCGAGGCCATTGGCATTTCCGGGGTCAAGAGGGCAAAATGAATGTTCTTCATGTCCTATGGTGACTCGTAAAAAAGGAGAATAGTGACACGTGCATGTGCGTACACACAAGCGCACAGGCATGCGCATTCTTACGCAGTCAGTGTGATTTATACCGAGACCTCTTGGGCGACAGTCATGCGCTGTTGACTCTGTCACAGCAGAACAAGAGACAAATAACTTTATGGATGTTGATATTGAGCAACACACATTAACACAAGAGCCAGAATAACAGGAAGCCAGCCTTGACCTCAGGGGTGAGAGGGGGGGAAAGACAGAAGGCGAAGGAGCTAATTGATGGATCTCCATCGTGATTTGCAGGAGAAGCTGCTGTTAAAGCAGACGAAGGAACGGTGCAGATGTTGTCTCACAAATGATAATGCCCTCCCTCAATTCTCTAATTAATGCCAAATCTTTAATTTATTTTAAAACTCCGCAAAAAACAGAGATGTATTAGTCTGTTTAAAAGGGTGGAAAAAAATGGAATAGGGCACATACAAAAGATCCATCTCTTCCAGCATTCTCGTAAGTAGCATCTGAAAAGTTGTGTGTGACAAAGAGATTCTATAAATGATGTAACTGTGATCAAAATCAAAGCAGCTCTCTTTTCATAAGTGATGTTGTGGCTCACAGACGCTATGAACAAATGAATTAGCTGAACAAATGACTAAGAGTCCACAATACAGAACCAACACGGTCTCATTGAGGAGGCCTCACAAACAAGAGAAAGAGCTGCTTATGTAACATGTTTCAGCTCCCTCTAACTCCCGTTCACTGCATTCATCACTTTTCATCCCATTTTATCTCGACTTCTGTCCACTCTCCCCCACTGGGAGCGATGACATTGCCTTAACCAAGGCCTTTGATTAGTTCCGCTTCTAAATGAGGCACATCCGGTTGACCTCGCTGTCTCTCGTATTAACCCCTTCCTCTCTGTATCTCCTCTCACTCGCTTTACTCCACTCCAGCTCCTCTCTCTGATGGATGGTGGCCCTGCTGCGTAAACAGACCGAATACATCATAAAAGTCAGCCGAGCAGTGTGTCATGCAGCATTTGCTTACTAAATTAGTTGTTTCTGTTATGATAATACACTTGCTTATATGCTTCAACGCCAGCAGTTTTTTGGGGGGTGATTGAGGCATGCACAGTGGATGCGTATATTGCTTGCATTCATCTTACTTACTGGATATGCTTATCCAATGTTTAAGCACAGGATAGAGTTCTGACTGATTGCATGAAAGCTTATTCCGTAGTGAATGTTGCTTGTGGTGGGCTTTGTCCTGAGAAGTAAATCTAGACTACGGAGTTTGTCAGCCATGAGGACTGTGAGCTGCAGGTAACTTGTGTGCTAACATCCCTGAAACAGCAACAACAACCTCCAGACACACTGAAAATATTAAGTTTTACAACAATACTGATTAAGCAATGGTGCAGCCTTGCTATTTTTTCACTGAATTATCCAATTTGATGTCACGCTGACCACCCTGGATGCTAATTTTCCACCAAAACAATTCCCCCATCACTATTTTGAAGGAACACCATTACTCAGATGATTGTGATTGGTACAGAGAAATACAAACAGTCTATACCAGGGGGGTCAATCTCAAAAACACAGTGGGCCAAAATTTAAAACCTGAACAAAGTCGCGGGCCAACATTGAGCAAATGAACCTTTTAATATGGACCAAAACTAATTTTGCTTTAACATTGAATATGGAACAAGCAACGCTTATTCCCATACATTATAACTTAATAGTGGAGACATGCAAAATCAAATTATAAATAAAAAAACACATCAGTGGCACAGTGACAGTTGTAGCGTGAAGTCGCTATGCCTACTGTCACAGAGGAGAGGGAGTTTCTGGGTCCTGTCCTGATTGACGTGCCAAAACAACAACAGGGCATTATGGGATTTGTAGTATTAGCGGTGAATGCGCTGTTCAGTATAATACCGGGGGCAGCTCTAGTAGTCATTTGGTATGTCTCGTGGGCCAAATATAATCACAAAGCGGGCCAAATTTGAGAGTTTGACACTACTGGTCTATACCTATCTGTAGTAGAATAATAATGAGGTGCAGTTAGACCATTCTTCACGACACTGAGTCAGCATTACAGAAAGGTCTGTGAGACGATGACAGCTGTGACTGTTATGGCTCAGAACTCCCATAATGACTAGTTCGTCTCTAGTCATCAAAAGGGCCAGCAAAGGGATGCCTGATTGAGTTGGAAAAGACATCTGACCTTCCCCACCGTACTCCGTCTCCACTATTCACTACTCTCTCACCGGAGAGCATTTTGTCCCCCCGGTGACTTCAGACAGGTTCGAGTAAGCAGTGTACGCGCACACACAAATCCACTCTAATCTAACACAATGGAACACACACACACATTCCTCAGGTCAAACACCAGGCATTTATACCCAACCTCACCCATGACCGCGCGCCTCGGCTCGATTAATTCAGCCTTCAGAGACGCCGATCCCCAGGTTAAACAGCAGGCTCAAAGCAGAGTGCAGAGTGAGCAGGCTTGATGGATGACTGCAGCCCGGTGTCCTGACATGTCTGATAAACGTGAACCGGCGGATCTGTTTTTAAACAATGTAGTCCTACCCACACATTTAACATCCATACTCTGAGACCAGGGGAAAAAAAAAAAAAAAGCTTTCAGAATGATTAATAACGAATTTAGCCCTGTGGAGACAAGGAATCTGTAACTTTGCTGGGTTTATCTGTCTGTTAAATAATAGCTTTTTTGGCTTTCACACATACAGGTTTTTACTCATGGGTTGCTCATGTCAAAGTATGACAGGATTGTTATGGATAGAGTCAAAATGTTGCAATCGTTGGCGTTTGACACTTAGAATACAGGGAGCTCCGTATCAATGTTGGAGGCAAGAAATGATTTACTGTAACCTGATTATACGCTGCTGACTTTGCTTAACCATTTGTACTTTCAGCCTCAAGTCAGACATGCGATCCAAAGGAGGTTAAAGACAACCCATGGGTGTACGTGCGTGAGATGCTAATTGGCTGCTGGACCAACTTTGTCAGAGACGACGGGGCAGAGGTCCACATCCTTAACCTGAACTTTGCCGCCACGGTAAGCATGTCAAGGTTACACAAATGAGATGCTAATAATCTAATTGCGCAAATGTGAAAATGTGAAAAAAACCTGCTTGACACGGAGTAAAACGTAAGATGCTAAGCCGGTCTTGCTTGCAACATACTTGTATAGTCGCAGTAAAATTTAACCAGAAACCCTGAAACCTTTTAAGTAAATCGGATTAGAAATGCAACACTAAACTGCAAAAGGATGCAGAAAGTGAAAATGTTTCACAATCGACGCTGCTGCTATGTGTCAAACACGGCTTAGATGTCATTTAAATCCAATATGCCACCGTGTGACATGGGCAAGTTATCGTCTGCTCATTAATCATTCTTTTAAATTGATAAGACAGTTCATCAAGTCCTGTCAGGCTGAAAAGAAAGGAGCGGTGCGCACACGTTTACCTTGCATGTCACACCTTTCTGTTAATGAAATGTGTCATTCATTGTTATAAACAGAGGGAAGCCATTTGAAGCAAAATTGTGAATTTAATTTTACTCTTATTTACACAGTTGGAGGTTGTCTGGTTGTATACAGTGTGGAGCAGCATTACATTTGAATAAAGCTGTCTGTGGAGGCTGACAAAACTGTCTTTGTAAAATGTGGCCAACCCAACGACAAACTTTCAGAAGAAGCTCCTAGAAATAGAAGAACCCCTCCTTTCCCCTCCTCCTCCTCCCTCTGTCGTCTTTGGCATGACTGGCTTCTGAAAATCAAGTTTTTTTGGCAGGACAGAAAAAAAAAAGTAGAGATCTACATGTTTTCAAAGTGTCAGGAAGCTTGTTCCATTCCTTAATGGCATTAAATGAAAAGGCAGATTGTGCAAAGGCAGAGCTTCTTTTAGGATTCTGCCCTCGCCTCTAGCAGTTGACCTTGAAGCTCTGATCATTTGCTCTGAGAAAAGTTGTGCAAAGCTTTCTAAGGTGCAGCATTGAACGCCAGATGAATATCTGAAAACCCAGAAGTAAATTCTCAAAGTTCAACATGTCGTCAGCATGCTCACTAATTACATCATCGTTGTGATGCTGTTGTAACTTCTTATCCAAAACTTTGTTCATGAAGTGATCAAAAGGGTTCGAGGCCTTGTTATAACTTTCTCTATTCAATGTGTCTAAATAATTAGGTGGATTTCTGGTATTTCCGACATATGTTTAGGTTGCATGTCTCATCTTCTTTATGTGTTTATCTTCAGCTACATGTGTTTTTGTAATATTGAAATAACTATGCAACACACTTTGTTAGTGCCTCACCAATAATTGTATAAGGCTGCGTCATCTGCATACATTATACATTTGACACACAGATGGGAGTTCACTGATACACAGACTAAATAGCAGTGGACCCAGTATAGAGCCTTGTGGGACTACAGATAGTTGACAATATATTATTTCCCTTGAGTTTGCAGTATCATACACATGATCTTATCCAGTTTAAGGTGTTCTAGCTCAGTAAGAAATACTGAATGAATACAAGTTAATAAGAACAGCTCCCCCCTTTATTTAAATTTGCCTTGATGACTTTGAGGAATGCCGTTTTAGTAGAATGATTCACTGCAAATCCTGTGAGTCCGTGGGATGGAGTAGATTTCTTTTCAGATTTGCTACCAGTTGTTCACCAATTACTATCCCTGTAAGCTCTGTAAACAACAATATACTGATAGTTGCTAATGTCCCGGTGGTCACTGGTTTATGTAGTAGAGTTTTCAGAACAACAGGAAATACCTTCTCCACAGACTTATTAGCTAAATTATCTTTGTATTTGTAATGGAAGCACATGTCCTCCAGTGCTTCCAGTCATTAGGTTGTCTGAAGGCAAACAAGCGTATTTCCCAAAATGTTTCACTATCCTTGTAAGATAGGCAGAAGGTCGGCAGAACAGGAAAAGGTAGAACAGAACAGACATTTTTCACAAAAGACTTTTTACCATGTCTCAGTGGGGAAAAGCTCAAATGGGCCTAACAAAATTAATGATGACTGACTTCCATTAAGGTATTGTGCATGCTGTCCCACTTACTGAGAATAGAAATGAGCTATTGTTTAGTTATTTGTTAAACCCGTGCTTTTCCTAGTAGGATTAGTCAAAATGTCCGCTTTGAAAAAGACTGACGCACCAAGACAATGTGGATGACCTTGCAGAGATTGACTGCTAGCTGCGCTTTGTTTTCACCGAGGCTGATTTAAAAACGAGGAGCAGCCGGGCAGGTAGATGAGTGGATCATGTGATGAGCTGAGACAGGAAACTCAACACTGATGAAAAATGGCAGTCTAAGAACATCTTAATAAGACATTACCCCCTAAAGATCATTAGATAAGCTACAGGCAGGAGAGGCAAGAGGGAAGAATAGTGAATCTGACATGTATGGATTATGCTTTTGCTATTATACAGTTCACTGTACTGTACATTGTGAACCAACTAAACCTGCCATTGAAATAAGAAAAAGCCCCAAGAAGCATCTTCCTACACACTTCCCATCCCACTTTTATCAGCCAGATAACTAGCTACCCATAAACAGATGCCAGACATGACAGGGAGATAGGGTTTCTCCACATGTCACTCCTTTTCTTTTCCTTTTAAACAGTCCAGTTCTGCAAGTTGGCTGCGTTCAAAGAATCCCCCCCTCTTTTTTTCTTTTCCCCTCAGCTTAAGCAAACACAGACCGTAATTGCAGCTAGTGTATTGGGTCGTTTTGATTTTCAAACTTTAGGCTTTAGGGAATGACACCGAAAAATAACTTGAGAAAACTTTTAATCTATATGTTGTTATTGCTGTGCCAGACCCCATTTTTCACTGTCCAACATTGTCGGTCAGCTCGCATTAGTCATTTCGTTATCAGTGTGCTCTGTTTGTTTGCTGCTTCTGTTTGTTCTCACTTAGAGTCCTTTGTGTAGTGCGTTCGCACAACTTTTGCTAAGCAACCGCCGCCTTATTGATTATCTCTTTTGTATTTCTGACTCCATTGGTCATTCTTCCTCATTTGAGAGAGAGAATGTGAGGAGGTGAAGCAGATGTGTCCCGTCCGGCTCAGACGTTATCACAGGATGGTGCAATACAAAGCCTGCCTGCCCATGCGTCACCTCTTTAAAATGAATAAAGGCGCCCCAAGGTCCTTCCCTTCAGCTGCTTCTTGGAAAGCTCCACAGAATCCTGTCATATTTTTTTTTTTTGGTCTGAGAGAAACCTTCACCAGTAAGCTAAACTGACTAAATGTGACGTTTATGGATATCTACTTTAAATTTTATGCCACACAAAGACACATTAGCATAAGTGTCTCAGCAATGAAGCCGCTGAGCCTCACAGATGCCCAGGTCTGTTCCTGTGAGTTGTATTTCTTTGCTTTTAGTTTTGTTCTAAGTAGCACTGCTAACGTTGTGCAAGCAGATCATTTTCTTTGCCTCAGAGACCGTGTTACTGGCATAGACGTCGCTGAACCCCTTTGCCAAAGTCTTTAGCCGCATTTAATGGACTGTAAATCAGACAAAAAATGCAGTTTTATGCCGAAACAGATTTAAAGCATATTAGCAGGGAATCAGTGCTCTTCGTCATTTTATTAGCCCTGAAAGAGTAAAACCGGTCACATTATGACCTGTGGGAGGAAAAAGAAAATTTCCCTGGAAGAAGTTAATCATGGTTCATAGATAAAAATTGTGCAAGTTTTCTTATACAATAGTTGAACTCTGTGTGGGGTTTGTGGGAGTTCACGGAGGGAATTTGGCTTGGGATGTGTGTGATGCAATGGACGTTGTGCAGAATTAGCATATCCTGCTCTCTTGTGGGACTGTGAGTGGATGTTTTATCATATCAAACGAAAAGAAGAAAGTGGGCGCAAGATCTCTTAGCGCAGACCCCCTTATCTGTTCTTGACTGTCTGTTTAGAGAAAAAGAAAATCTTGTAAGCACTTAGGAAAGGGAACATATTCATCTCTTGCCAAACTGTCCAGTCAGTAGGGTGGTTTGCTCTTGCCTCCCCCTTTCTTTGTCCTTTAAATTTTCTTATCACCTTCTTCCCCATCCCTTTATTTTCACACTGATTTACAACCTGCCAGGGACAGTTGACTCTCACAGTTTGACCGCACAGAGAATTATAGAGGAAACATCAAGGGGCTGCACAGGCCAGGAGAATTCATTGGGAGGAGCTGCATGTACGGGGCCCATTGATGTCACACACTGGCTTGGGTAGTCGGGGTCTTGGCACGAGGCCGAGACTAGACCAACGGAGCCAATTCAAGTTAAGGGAGAGAGCCAAAAGAATAACTGGAAACTGCATCAGCAAAGGCCCTTCAAAAAAAAAAAAAAAATGCTATCGAGAAAAAAAGAAAAGGAGAAAAAAAAAGGAAAACAATTGTATCTTGAAAGCGCAGGAACAAAAGAAGTGAAGGTGAGTGATCAGGGTCACAGTTCAAAATAAAACAAATGAAAAGTCACAAAAGGATGAAGCGGAGACAATGAAGCTCATTAGAGAGGAGTATTTTAGGAAAACGCCACCGAGTTATCTCTGGACGACGCACAATGAGCTCAGCAGGAAATGCCATTCATGCATTTACTGTATGTACATGAGGTAAAAACCCTATTTCTGGGAAGGTGCTGTTTCACCGATTTGTCACAAGTGGAGACTCATATTGTAATAATAGCTCAGTCCTTCCGAGGTTTGATCTGTTTTCCGGGGCAACCTATCCGCATTTCATTTTTATAAAAAGATATTCCGCACAGAAGATGAAAAAGCAAGTGCCTTATCAAATTGTGATTACCTGTGGCCCTCTTCGCCACATTCAAACAGCATCACCCGCATTATACATGCATTGGGATGGTCGCTCGGAAAACATATGCAGCACTATCTCAAATTTTATGGTCACCTCCTCCACTGCTCCAGACAACTTGCATTGTACGTAGGGTAATCTGCCAGCCCATTACTTTTCAACACCCTTCCCTTGTTTTTTTTTTTCTTTTATTTTCTGCCTTTTGTTCTTGTTTGTGGCATTTATTTTACACCATTTTTCCCCTTTCTCAGTTGTTCTGTTTTCTTCTGCGCCGTCACAGGAATTCTAAACACCCAGACACTAATTAACGTAGGATTGGTTCCATCTTTACATCAAAAAACCGCAATAAATATGAATGTGATATCATTACGACGGACAAAGCAGAGCCACTTGAATATGTAACCGCTTTAGGCGTCATATTCCCGCTTGGTTCTTGTGCCGACTTATTATTTTAATGCTGATGTCACATTTACAAGTGATCCTGACCGCTGGTCCATTCAGTAACAAATGTCACCATCTTTTTTTCTCTACCTGGGATTGCAAGGCACCCTTTAGCCATTTTTCCGAAGAAGGGAACTGAACACATTTATGAGGTGCAGAAGTCATTATGCAAAACCCACTATGTACTAGACACTGATGATAGTCTGTGTCTGTGTGCGCGCGTGATGACAAATCCCTCCGTCCATTGCACTTGGCGTGCAAGCTTCTCTTTCAAATGCATCTGTGTTTGGCTCACAGGCAATTTGTCCATGGTCTCCTTAGACCTAATTTGCTCTGTACGAGCCTGAAAATTTCCATAGCTCAGGCCTGAGCTCATCACAATTCTCTTGGATCACGCTCTGGCAACTTCAGGTAGCAAGTAAATGAATTTAATATTAAGGATTCACACTGTTTCCCCAGCATGCTCATTGTCTCACCAGCAGGGCCCAGTCTGAAAACAATCTACCTTCAAATAAACATGATAAAACAGAATAAAGCATTCGGTGTCAAAAGGCATCAGAGAAGGATGAAAGCAGAAATTTGTATTTATGAATGTTAACTTCTCGCAAAAGCCGAAGAAGGAACAATATTTCCAAGCTGTTGTTCATTTCTAATGCATTGAGTCATAAAATTGAACTGATTGCAAATCCATGACTCTTTCACTTTTCTAAACCCAATTATCTCGGGGCTATTACAGAAGTAAAAGTAATTAGAACCAGGATTTATTGGAATTAAGTCAGTCTTGAAAAAAAAAAAAAAAAAAAAAAGCATCTCTACACTCAGACTTATTATTCCACAGTGAAAAGGTTTACTCACCACCACTTACATCCATAAAACTCAGCAGTACCAGCTTTACCCCACGCACATGCGGAGCATAGTAATTAAGGCTGATTCATCGAGTAACTGCGGTGGTGATTAGCAAATCACATCAGCATTGTGTTACAATGGGTAAAATACGGGTAATGAGATATCACATTATGTCTTAAATTATGTTAATGGGCTTTTATATACAGCGCATTGTATAACAACCACCAAGGTTAGCTATATGGGGGACGAAGGGCTGCAAGTTATACGAAATACACAGAATTTTAATAAAAATATTGCTTTCTAAAGCAGGTCGGTTTTCCCATGCTGTCTTTTTCATAATTTTAATTATACAGCGTAGAGCACGAATAACAAATGCAGCTCGTTTTACATCCGCTGAATGATTCAAGGTGGAGTGTGAGAGTCTGGACTGTTGATGTTTGGCCGCCATATTCATATAGTTAGCAGATCCGTGCTTCCACTGCCCACAAATGTGCACAAGAACATGCTACACTGTGGATGAAACCACTTTGTTTCCCTCTCTGTGTACAAACACTGGATCTTTATTTGTTAGAATTGACAGCCAGCGGACCATGAAGGAATATTTGCTGAATTTGATAAAAAAAAAAGTGCATCGGCTCGGTATCGCTGACTCCGCATTTAACTCCGATTTTCATTTGCGCTCGACATTTTTTTTCCCCTTCCCTTGCACTGCATAGAGATGTAATAATAGAGCCAAGCTGCATTGCCTCATTAATGTGTGCGTCAATATGAAGGCAGACTGCAAAGGCATCCAGCCCTCCTCAAATGACTGGCACAGCTTTCTCAGGAGAGTATTGACATTTCATAGCTGCGAAAACAAGGAGAATGGTCACATAAGCCACTGATTTGTATTTTTTTTCTTGCAGCGGGACAGAAACTGAATCAAACTCGGAATTAAAAACTGCAGTTGGAACTATTTTTAAACCCGGTGCTGCAAGCAAAATGTCTGCCTACCCTGTCAACTTAAGGTCTGTTAATTTAGCGGCAGATGGAGAGGTTTGCAAATTGGCGAGTAGCTTCGCAGAAAACTGTCTCAAAGTTAGAACACTGGCAGATTTTTGATTCCGTGCAAAAAGGTCATGATAATTACTGTGTCATTTTGTTAACTCTATTTGTGATAGATGGAGTCTCCAGACGTGTCATACTTGAAGTCACGTCTTATAAAATGCCTAAATCTTGAATCCCATATTCATGACATTTTAAATTTTTAATCTTGGCAGTAAAGTATGAATCTCAGCAAAATATTACATTTTAATTTTGCCTGCCATAAAGGTTATTTCTCCTCACTTCATCACTGGATGTTTTTCTAGTCTACGTTTAATCATCCCAAAGAAGGATTTATGATAGCTGTTGTGTTTTTGCACAGACTTCTCCTCACACTGTGCTGTATGATAACGCAATGAAAAATAATGCAACAGCAGCCAGATGCATTGTTTGATTCCTTTTTTTTCTTTGGTAGTTTGTTTTCCACAGTGGGCTGTAAGGAGGCTCAGTGGTTAGCACTGTTGCCTCGCAGCAAGAAGGTCACCGGTTCACATCCCGGTGGGGGAACCGGGATCTTTCTGCGTGGAGTTTGCATGTTCTCCCCGTGCAGCGTGGGTTCTCTCCTCCAGGTTCTCTGGCTTCCTCCCACAAGCTCCAAAAACATCCATCCATTATCTATACACCGCTTAATCCTCACTAGGGTCATGGGGGGCTGGAGCCTATCCCAGCCGACTTAGGGTGAAGGCAGGGGACACCCTGGACAGGTCACCAGTCTATCACAGGGCCACACTGAGAGACAGACAACCAAGCACACTCACATTCACACTTACGGACAATTTAGAATCACCAATTAACCTCAACATGTTTTTGGGAGGAAGCCGGAGAACCTGGAGAGACACCACGCTGCACGGGGAGAACATGCAAACTCCACACAGAAAGATTCCGGTGCCCCCACCGGGACCGCGAACCGGCAACCTTCTTGCTGCGAGGCTACCAAACTGCGCCACCCTGCAGCCCGGTCCAAAAACATGTTGAGGTTAATTGGTGATTCTAAATTGTCCATAGGTGCTTGGTTGTCTGTCTCTAAGTGTAGCCCTGTGATAGACTGGTGACCTGTCCAGGGTGTCTCCTGCCTTCACCCTGAGTCAGCTGAGATAGACTCCAGCCCCCCATGACCCTAGTGAGGATTAAGCGGAGTATAGATAATGGATGGATGGATGTTTTCCACAGCATAGACTCAGTGTGGTACACTTACCAGAAAACCTATTATAGACAGCCCGTAGCTCCCATATGGCTTTACAGTGTGAGTGAATATTTATAACACTTGATTGCTTTGTCCTCCTAATCAGTCCCAGTGTTCCACCTGGAGATTTACATCATCTCCAAAACTTTCTTTTGGCTGCGACACTATCACAAACTATTTGACTTTCAGACAGAAGTTGTGAACTTGCTGAAGCGGGACTGAATTTGCACCGCGATAATAGACACTATGAATATGTAAATGTACACTTTGCACTAAATATATCTTAAAAGTAACTGAATTGGCATTTTGCATTTTTATTCTGGTGTGAGGCAACATTTTGAGTAACCTTCCTATTTTTATTTCCACCCCTCCTAGAGCGACAAGATGTTCTCTCTGGAGATGTCCAATGCAAAGCCAATGAACCTTATCCTCACATCGCCTGACATGGTTTACGGTCTACACAACCTCAACGCTGATGTTCACATTTATGTAAGTAATGTCTCTTTTTTTCTATATCAACTTTCAGGCTGTGCTCCCACCTTGTTTTCTGGGTGCATAATGGGTGGATGTGTGCAGTGCATATAAAACGCTAACTTTAGCTCACTTGTTTCTCTGTCTCATACACTCTCTCTGCTACATTTTCCAACTTGCTGATGTTTTTTTAAATAATTGCTAACAGCTCATCATGAACTATCCAGCTGTGGGACACCAGTATTAGTAGTTAGTTTCCTAGTACTGTATAATTTTCAGATTTCTCCAGATGTACTTAGCTCCTGTTTAGCGCCAGCTGTTTTGCACGGAGTCAAACTGACACAGCTGTGCAGCTCTCTGGGCCCGTTTAGAGCCAAACAGTGAACCATGTTGATTTTCTATGGATATTCCCCAATGGCTTCTCTGCAAGAGGCAGTTTGTGTTTTAGTTTTTTTTACTGTCCACTCTATAAAATGGGTAAGAGATGTTTTAGAGTGGACGGTAACGAGAGGGGCTGATGGCATCGGCTGTAAAATTAATGTTCCAATGAAATTGGAGATTCTGACTTTTATACACTGTTCTTTGGATTATATCTGTGAACTGACCCACAGGAAAGCTGCAAAGGGTTTAATCAACTGCGTGTTTTATTAGAGGTATAACACTGTGATGAGGACATAGTGTTGCAGCAGTTAATTTGAAAAAAAGTAATAATTAAAGTTAATAATAAGGATCGAAGTGTTCGAATAAATGATGTTGCGTACGTCTTTACTTTAATGTCTGAATATGTTCGTGATGAAACACCTCATTTCTAAAAACATTTCAGTTTGGTCAAGGACCCGAACCCTCTTGGAAAGTTACAACAATTTGGATTAAACCATTTTGAAAACCTTTATTCATCTCCTGGTGTTAAAGATCAAATCTTGTATAAGCTCATCACTGCTCAGAATGTCCAAAGCATGCTGTCTGCTTGCACCCTTGTGCCAGCTTCATATTACATATTCTGGATTATCTTTTTATTTTTTGTGTAGTATTACTGAGGTCCTACCCTCAGACTGATGAATATATATTTTTAAAGAGTTCCTTCATATTATCACAGACTTTGAATTGAATTTGTACATTTTATCATTTGTATTTCTTTCCACAAACCTAACTGTTCTGCTTTAAACCATTTGCAACCTTGAATCATATGCAAAAATATGTATTCAGTTTAAAAGTCTGTCTTTTATATAAAAGCAAAGTCAGCCGTTTGTCCTCTTCTGTTTTTCTGTCTTTGTGCATTTTAAAAATCTTTGATCTGCTTGAAAAATGTTCAACAGTATTGGCTGTAAAGTCTTTGCACGCAGACATAAAAGCTGGAAAAATACCCAAGAAACACAACAAATGAAATGAAATCACGGCTGACCAGTCACGCCGATGAAATGTTTACAGGAATGACAACAGTTACTGATACGCTGACAGCAGTGTCGCACCACATCCTGTATCATGTCCTGTTGTGAGCCTCGACAACGTTGCCTGTGACTGCAGGATGTTTTCGTGGGATGAGCTGTATCACTGGGGGATAATAGTGTTTTACTGCAGATTGCAGCGTAAGAGAATCAGCATCTGTTCAGCATCTAGGAAAGCACGTCACCAGCTTGACAGCTTGACTCAGTGTCACGGCTCTCCCAAAGCTGACCTGAATACTCGGAGTTATTTAAATACAACACGGGGGCAGCGACATGTTTGTATCGGGAGCATTAAGTTTAGTTTGAGTGTTTTATGGAACAGCTTGTTGGCTGCATGCATGTATCTAATAGTTACTTACCTGATATCAGCTTTTGTGAAAAGTTACTGACGTGGTGAAGAAATGGAGAAAAACAACGGTACCTATCACCGTAGACTTGACTGACAGGAAAGAAGTCAGAAATCAGACGTTTGTGTTATCCCAAGTAGGAAGAGACGCTGTTTTCTCTCAAAAGTACGATTATTAGTGGAAGCCTGCAGAATGTCAAACTGATTTCACAGACACAATCGTGCGTTCAGTTCTCCTGTAATCATTAAAGTGATTACAATAGTTATTTCCCTTTTTTTTCCCTATCCTGTTTTTGTGGTCTTCCCCGTCTGCCGGTTGACTAGCCTTCCTTTTAGGTTTTGTCGTTTCCCTTCACACTATTTTTGATATTGCGTCAATCAAACATTCATGCAGAAAGACCGACGACTCCCTCCGGCTTACTGAGCTTACAGTACTCTGTTTTGCTTTGTGATACAAGGGTATCCAGACAATTAGTCACACGAAAGGACAGAAGTTCAGAAGGAGGCAGCCTTGATAATCGCTGTTGGGTTGAGTTACAGAAATCTCAGGCTCTTCTGAAGTGATGACTTTTCTTCGTTTTCACCTCATTGTGGCGAAATGCGACACGACTTGTAACATTTACACAGCCTGGTTCTAATATCAGATAGCAGTTTGTTAACAATGATAGTAAGACAAAGGAGTCTGAATAATGTCTGAGTCAGAGTCCAGTAAGCATGCATCACACTGTCCCATCTGTTACGCAGTTTAAAGCTCTAAGCCAAACCGACCAAAGATTTTCCTATTTGACTCTTCGTCGCTATTTCAAGTCATTGGATGGAGATGCATTTTTTTAGACATTAGATAATAGTTTGTGTGAATGCATCAAATTTTGTTAACAAATATTCATCGAGGCTATTAGCGTAAATGTCGACTTTAGGCTGATGAATGTTGGAGGAATATTTGCCTGCAGAGTTTACACGTCACCTTCTTGTCCTTCACCATGTCGAAATTAAACCACACTTTGGTTTTCCCACCAAACATATGTAAAAACCAGCTAATAACTAGCTGTGTAAATGATAAAAAAATCTGTCTGTGACGGACAGATTGACCAATCAAAACTTGGTCCACCAAGACTCAAAAACTACTTACTTATCCCGTTAACGTCTGTTGGGACACTAGCAGTTCCATTCACCATTTATCCCTATCATCAGGGGTTAGCCCCCAATCCGCTAGGTCCCCTGACAGCAGCTCCTCCCAAGTCTTCCTGGGTCTCCCCCTCTTTCCTTTTCCGGTGACATCCAAGTTCCTAATCGGCTAATATTTGGTCGTCTATTACTGGTTTACGTAAAAAAATTTTAAAATCCTTTGTCCCGTCTGCCATCAGATTTCTTAATATGCTGTAGGTGAACGTGTTGGGGATAATATACTGTATTGTAATTTATGATGACCATGTATGTATGTATGTTTGTATAATTTGTATTATCATGTGTGCCATGTGAGATTTACTGTGTGATTCTAACTTTTGCTGCAAACCAAATTGCCCTCCGGGGACATTAAAGATTTTCAAAGTCAAAGTTCAAAGAACAAATACACTGCTGTCGGCTAATACTTTCAACTAATTGCTTTTCTAGAAATTAAAGTTTTCTTTAAAAATGAATAAATAAATAAAAATGTCAAGATCTCACTGTTTTGTTAAAGCATTGTCTCCTTTAGAGAAGCAAACTGTTCTTGTGTGTCAGTGGGCGTAAGTGGTTCCAATATGAAGAGGTGCACTACTTGTACAACACTTTATTTCCCTCCTCAGGCTTTGGAGCACTGAAGGAGAGAAGAACGAATCAGCACAGATCAAAAAAATAAAATGAAATCATTCAGGAATGAGCCTAAATAAAACTGGAGCACATGTGTTCCTTTTTAAAACTGTATTATTTATTAAGCACATTTTGACACATGCCCTACCCTCCCGACTCTCTATTCCTAATGCCCTCCTCTGCCTTCTTATTCATGTAAAGCTTAATGTAAACTCCATTATTTCCCATTGGCCCCAGACAAGGAAACAGCAGTGTCTAGTCGATGGGATGGATGTATATATTTATACCTTGTATGGAGCCAGATTCCAGCCGACTGTGGTGACGCACAAAGCTAAAAAAGGTCCCATTTCCTGGCCCCACTCAGGAAGCAAAGGAAAGACCTTGGCTCCAACAGGGTTGTGCAACTGGGCTCGTGGACACTTAACCATAATAAACATTTCTTTTTAACAGGGCCCTGCTAAGAGAATAGGGGGAGAGCTGGGCGGAGGGGAAGAAAAAGTAGTAGAGGAGAAAGAGAGGGATGGGCAGACATGTCGAGCAGAAAACATTTCAGCAGATATTTGGAATGCGCATAAAGCTGACTCGCTCATATCTTTGTTTTCATTGCAAAAGCTAACAAACACACTAGGATCTGAGTCTGACTCACTCGTCTTACTGGAAGTCGTGTGTGATTAAATAACTCTGTGTTGTTTTTTTTTTGCTTTTCAGCTAAACAGTTTCTCCACAATTACGCTACACGGAAATCATCATCACAACAACGTCCACAAGCAAGAGTTCCCCACTCAAGACGAGGAGCTGGTCAAGTGGGCAGTGAAGAGGTTCGGGGGCGTGACTTCATTCACTACTATTCGAAATCTACAAAATATCTCAGCGACAGGAACACCAGGTGAGACTTGTGACCAGGCGTGGATTGTAATGTCATTTCTCCTTCTGGTTGTATTTGACATGTTAATTAAAAGATGCAATACATATGAAATTAAAAAAACAAAAATGCACGGTAGATAAATTTGTCGAACTCCAGCAGCAGTTTGCCTAAAAGTCTGTCAGATTTATCAATCTCGACACAATAGTGTGTTTTTTTATCTATGCTATCTGCGTCTCTGTTTGGTCTAAAACCGTATGTTTGGTGCTGAAGGAACAAAATAATTACAGCCGGCATACCGTGCAGCTCCAGCTTACATAACTCAGGAGAGAGTCTGCAGTGTAGTAATCAAGGATGGATGCGGTGCTGTTTCCAGAGCTCTCTCGATGATATTAATCTCTAACCTTCGCTTATCGAAAGTGTGCATAAAAAAAGCCTTTCTGATGAAATCACAGAAGAGCCGCTGTACTGCGAGAAATAAAAAAAAAAATCTCATGGACAGGATTTCTGTTACTGAATGTCATCAATCAATCAGCTCCTACTAGCGTTTTAAACCTGTGCACCGACAAGTTGACCGTACAGTAAAGTCTCAAGTAGCCAGTGAAAATCCTCAGCTTGGGTAAAGTGCCGGGAACTCAGCTGAACATTTTCAGTGCCGGCAATATGTCATTCCATATGACAGAACATTTGGAAAGGGGAAGCCTCAGACAAATGGCCACTGATGCTGAAGATGGAGCCACAAAAAAAAAAAACACTATGATTTAAAGTGAACATTCATGGCTGAGTAAAGTCTGGACATTAAGAATATTATGGGATGTTATTGCCATCAGCAGTAGCAGCAGGATGCTCGGTGCAAGCACAATTATTTCTTGCCGGAGCCTCCTCAAGGCAGTGTGAGCCGAAGCAGAGCTCTGACATGGGTTTAAAAAGAAATTAAGAGTGGCGATGCTGAAAGAGTGGCAGCTGCTTTTATGTCCTTTTTCTGCTTTTTAGTATTTTGAAGGAATCGAGTTTTAATCTCTCTTTTTCTCTCCGATTCCCAACTATCAACTATAGGGTTGTACAATAGGTGACAGATCAACTCCCCCGTCGAGTCTTAAATGTCTTATTTAAATTGTGGCCAAAAAAAAACAAAAAAACGCCGTCTTCTCAGCCATTTTTAGTCGTAGCTACTGTTTTAACTGACTCATAGTGCACAAGGGCATGATAATTACTCAAGCTGTGGAACAGTTTACATCGCTATTTCGTTGTATCCCTTGGCCTGTATTGGGGTGTTAGGTGAACTTGCGTAGGCCTCGTCGTAGGCGTTTGGAAAGTCTTTGCAATGACACACAACAGCGTGTTGCCAAGTTGAAGGCTTACCGAGCAGCTGAGTAGAAAATATGTACATGTCCCTCAGGTTTCTTGAATGTCTCAGTGTGATTTGAAATTCATGTCATGCTTGGGAAAAAAAAAAGATGTGTTGAGCAATGAGCCGCAGCTCGCCAGAAGCTCGGAGTGATGTTGCTTCCATCCTCTGTGTAAAGGTGACAGTAGCGGTCAGTCACCTGATGCTCTATAGGAGTAACGCTTTATTACAGTAATGTTTTCTCACTGTTTGATTTACACGATGTCGTGAGAGATGCTGTGAGAAACTTATATCCACCCACATTTCTCACGGAGTGTTGAAAAAAACGTGCTTAGCTTTTTTTTTTTTTTTTTTTTTGAGCATTGCAGCAAGTTACACCTGTAAACCACCAGTCACCATTATTAGGCTGAGCACAGTGTAACCACATCAGACGGCTCCCGGAGCAGCTTTCATAGCAGGGGAGGGGAAAGCACTAATGTTTCTGTCGCAGCAGTTTGGTTTTCTGGGCTACGGCGCCTCAGCTTTGGCCACCAAAAACCCTGAAAAGTCGGTTCTGTTACCAGCCGCCTGTATTGGAACAACCTCTTCAAGTATTGCTCTCACAGATCAAACAGTTAAATAGATATAAAAAAATAATAGGCTTTAATTGTAATTAGTTATTGCTTTTTGGAGCCACTACCCCACAATTAGGCATTTGAAACAAACTGCAGAATTCACGAAGCCATTGTTGTCTTTATCGTGTCATATTATGATCGTGTAAAGAATTTTACTGCCTACAACTTCCATGCTAATGTAATATTTTCGTTTTTATAAGCAATGAATGAAAACTGATGCAAAATGAACGTTTGTGGATTTGCAGGAATCAAACCCGGCTCCCCGAAATGTGTGCTCGAAAATGAAGACGCGTCAGAGAAGCACTTTATGATGATTCAAACCAAACCCTCGCCTGCTTCCTTCAAATCCTGCTCCCCGCAAACGCAGAACCCCGGCGGTGAATCTGGCCTTCACATCATAAACATCCCAGAGAGTTCCAGCATTCGGTAAACCTTCGTATTCACAATGCATTTCTTTGCATGCTTTTTTGCTGTCGTCTTTTAATATTTTATCGTTCATATTGCAGCAATGTATCACTGCGCGTGGACACAAGGGAGACCAGCGTGTTCCTGAGGGGCCCTCAAGGCACCACATGGACCTTTGTCAACGCACAGCACACAAAGTTTGGTGTAAGCACACTCCAGTAGTTTTTAGAAGCAGATGTGAGACATTTTTCATACGAGGACAAAGACTGTTGTATGTAATCGCATTGTTGTCGTCACTTAATAACACAGTTTAATGAATTTGTACACGCGGCAAGCTTTTCCCTCGCCTGTGAAATTGTCCTTATTATTGAGTTAGCGCTTGTACAAGACTAAATTATCACTGATTTATTTGAAATTTGTCCCCCTTTTTCTACAGTCTAACAATGACATCCTGCTGCCCGCCATAACACACCGAATCCCTCCGTCGGTTACGCTGACAAGTGACAACGCAGAGGATGTGCAAAGGAAGGCTTTAGATCATTTTAAAGTCACTACTTTCACCAGCTATTCTGAAATCAGACCGGAGGACTCTTTGATATTACTAGTTCTCGGGAAAAAAGACAACCCTGCAGGTAAGAACAATAAAAAGTGATTTCCTTTTTATACAGTATATTCTGCAAAAGAGAGTAGATTGAATACTGCAAAATGCCATCATTTACATATAATGCATGTAACACAAAGCCAGAAGAGGTATCGAGAGGATAATGGCAGCTATAATAATAATAATAGAGAAAAGGGAATTACCATGCAACACATACAGAGTGTGTTATACGCTGCAGCTTCAATGACCTTCTGGAGGTTTTTTTTTTTAATGTTGTCAGCTCCTCAGCTATCTGTATTTCAGTTGAAATCCACGAAAGTACATTGGAAGAGAGAAATTGCTGCAAATGACTTATTTCTCGTCGGTCTGTTTCTAATCTAAGGGGCTTCTCGTTCAGTTACAGAAACAGTACCAGAACCAGTCAATCCCATTACCACTAACTCGCCTCATCAGATGCCTCTGCTGATGCAGCTCTACACCTCCCCAGACTACGGCTCACCCCTGGACCCCAACACCAAGGTTCAGAGTGACAAGAGAATTTATGCAGAGGTACGAATCCATTGACCCTTTGGTTTGCATTTCATGTCCCCTAACTGCTTTAAAATAACTAAATACAGGCTGGATAATGTGGAATATTTAAGTGCTGTGAAAAGTTTGTGTAGCTACAAGAGCATCCTGATACCACTTTTCAGCTCGACTCCTTTTTTTTTTTAAATCTTTGGGCTGGTCAGTAAATTGAATTCAATGTTTTTCTTATGTTACCTGCTTTGGCATTACACTGGATCAATAGAACTGTTCCGCAGCAGTTAAAAGGTTTATTGTTCAATATATCGCATCGGTCCCAAACATTTCAGCATCACTTTACAGTTTTATTTTCACAGCGTATCCTCTTGTGCTTCTCTTCTGTTGTAGTTTATTTTGTTTCTTCTCTGTTCCCTGTAGATTTCTGGGCACACTTTAGGGGGTATTGTCTTGACTATCAAGGTGATCAGCTGCTTTGTGCGCTCTAAAGGCTCCTGCCCCGTCGTGAAAGAGCTGCCCTTCATTCTGGAGGCCTGCTCCTTGAATTCGTGTTCCAACAGCACTCGATTCAGCTTCTCCTTAGATCAGCTCCAGGAGCTGACGTCCACCACGTGGGACCTGGAATGCGCTGTGCAACTGTGCTATAGTGAGGTAGGAATTAATCGACAGTTTTGACATGGCACTTGAAATAAAACATGTTATATTAATTTTACAGCTGGAAGATGCTTGACAGCTTCTGCGTAAAGAAAATACAACCTGCTTTACAGCGTTGCCGCAGTTGTCTCGAGTATTTTGTATCGAGTGTTCGTATGGATCTTCAGCAGAAGCCCGATGGCAGTTTATAATAACCTAATGACATTCTGACCTTCTGGGTGTTTCGATAAACGGTTCTCTTTGACCTCTTTCCTAGAAATGTGGAGATGGAGGAAGAGTGAAGAGGAATCTGGAGGTTACTCAGCCGTGTCTGCAACCACCAAGTGAGTTCAGTTTAAACTCCAAAATGTGGATCGGTTCATTTTTTTTGACCCCGGTCTTAAAGGGGACCCTTTGCCAAATTGTGAGAAAAGTCGTCCCCGAGTTTAAACTTGTTATGTTTTTGACAGACCCTTTCTATGAGGATGAATGTTTCATGTGTAATTCTCTGACAATAAACTCTGTGAAGTCTCAGAAGGAAGAAAAAAAAAACTTTAACTTTTAAATTACCTTTTATGCCTTCAGGACTTAATTGCCAGTCTGGTGCGTGGTCAGAGTGTTGTTGCTTGCTGCTATAATTTTCATTCCTATTATTGCTTTCAGTGCAACAACAAATGCTGCACAGGCGGTTGTCATAGCAGTGAACTCAGGATATGCAGTGATGCCAGCAAGGGGCTGCGGGGCAGGGCTTCGTCCTTTAGGAAGGTCTGCAGGCTGACCTTGTGGCCACAATCAGAAGTGGCGGCCCTCGGGGCAGGGGGGGAGCTGGAGGAGGGGGGTTAGGTCCTTTGTGTTTCCAAGGGGTTTCTGTCCAAACACAGCCGCTGCGCCTCGTGCTATTGTCAGATCAATCAACACAGTTGACTCAAACGAGGAAAGATTCCTTCTAAAAATCAAAGAATAGTCTCCGCGTGATGATTCATTTCTAAGAGATGATTCAGTTTTTGAGCAAAAAAAAAGACACAAGGAAGTAAACGGTGATTAAACGGAGGAACTTATGGAGCTTCTTTGTAATACTGATAATGGATTTGTTTATGCCTTAAGCTTCCTTTATGCTGCCTTTCCTTCTAGAAAGGAAAGATAAAGGTTGGTATGTCAGTGTTGGCAGTGGCGGGGAAGCTGACTGAACTACTCATCCATGCTTTTCCTGCGTCCTGTTTGTCCTCCTCTTTGACTTACATAATTAGAAACCAGGACCTAGCGAAACACAGGGATGGACCTAGTTTTAAAGCAACACGCTGGTTCGGTCGGTCTGTTTACGGGGCTCAGTTCAGCAGCCAGTGTCAGGGAGACAAGGGTTACTGTATATCAGCAGGACTACCAGACTGCATTCTGTTGCAAGCCTTCACTGGGCAGTTCTGAGTGCCCCATTCATCAATCTTTCCTGTTTGCTAGTTTTCATACTGAGGGCTACAGGGAGTCACAGCACAGGCCTGCTGTCTCTCTCCTCCTCTCCACCTGCACTGGAGCTTCTGCTTCCTGCTCCTGTTTATTCAGCTTTGCTGTCCAAGCCTCACTTGTGCAAACGAACGCGGCGACTGATTGCAGAGAAAAAGTCTCTAGAGAGCAACCTGCTCACGTCGCTGTGATGTTTCGGAACAATTCAGGGTCAAGGAATGTTCCTCGCTGTTGGATCAACAAACTGGGTTGGCTGTTTGGAATGCAGTCGGTCCAAACAGCCACAAGATGTCACTGTTTCAGTGCTCTGATTCATGTTTAATTCAGCTGATATTTTTGAATTGGTAATAACATCATGACAATATTTACTCTAGTTGCTGTTTATTTTAGATATTTATTAAACCCTATGGAGTCATGTGTGCTATGTTTCAGTTTAAATGTCGTATATTCTGATATCAGAATAAACAATTTTATCTCAGTTCACCAGAGATGGAATTGCACGACAAAGAGCTGTTACTTAAATGCAGAGAATGTGTTAGGTAGTGGCAAATTTTTACAATAAAAAAGCTGTCTTCTACCCTTTAATTTCTCTCTTCATGGCAGTAAAGCTGGATTTTATGACGCCTAGTGTAGCGCTTAACTTAGCATGTTCCATCAGGAGGCAGGAGGCAGCAGAGGCAGGTGAGAGAAACTCATGCAAAGGTGATGATTAGTTTCTTCCAAATGTTCTGGATACTTGTGGGAGGGTCACTACAGGCAGCAAAAGGGGAGAAGTGAATCCAACGTACACGGTTTTACACAAAGTTGTGTGTACGTAGCCTCGCATGGCCACGCTCTTTTACTCCAAAGGCCAGATTCTGATAAATGTCTGAAAATATGTTGAGTGGAGTCAGACACACTGATGCAGTGAAAGTCAGTCAGAACTAACTTCTCGAACCTTGTTATAAATCAAACTTATTGTGAAGCTGCTTTTGGTGGAAAGTTTCTCAAGGGTTTAAGAACATCTCAGAAGTCAGAGGCATATTTATGCAGTCAGATGATGCGGGAGCTTAAGGTGATCTATTGTGTAGTCTTTTTAAAAAGATGTCCGTCTCAAGGAAATCCATTCATGGCCTTGCCGGACCAAAATGACTAAAGCATAACTGTGAGACGGCCTTGCCAGGCTGGTACAGTATGCTTGTCCCACAGTACTTTATGTCAGAGGCTTGAGTGAGTTTTAGTGTTTGCATGTTCTCCTACCCTTTCACAGCTGCTTTTAGGGAAAGTGACTTTTTTATAGCCGCTGGCTCCCAGTTTTATGTTGTCTATTAATGTTTGCTAGCCGAGGAGCACATTGTGTGGGACGAGCCAGCACAGCGCTTCTCCAAAGAACATCACAAATGGCAAACTTGACTGTAAATTTGAGTTTGGATCATCACATTGCAACTGAGCGAATGATAGAGTACACATTTACTTTTTTTTATTTCACATAGGTTCAGGGTCTAACCTTGCAAAAGCAATGACATAATAATGAATGTCATATTTTTTTTATAGAACATATGTACAGCATATGTATGTTTATTGATTTTTAGAAGGCACTGCACTGTGGGAATAGAAACCTTCAATATACAGATTACTAGCCTCAGGAGTTGATGAAAAGTTTTATGTTGCCATTAAGTCTTTTTTTTACCAAGTGTGTTGCTTGTGTTCAAGTTAATGGGCTTCCTTAGCAGTTTTCTGTGAAGACTTCTCCATTTGTGTAAATTATTTAACTTTTCAAAAGTCTTTTTATGCTGGTGGTTAAAGTAAATGATGTTACTGTTAGTATGCTACTTTATGCTGATGATGTCATTTTGTTAGTTTATCGTTCTGGCTAGAAGGTGCTGGAAACGGTAAACCAGCAAAGATGAAACAACAGTACATTTCTGAAAAAAAACACAGTTACTTCTCAACTTAGCTCTAAGCATGGTGTTAATATTGTATTTAATTGTGCAGGTAGGACAAAGGGTCTTTTCTGAACAAAGTTAACTTATGTAAAAGATCCGATTTCCTGTGCTCCTACACAAATCTTGCAAAAGTACGACGTGCCCGTTTCGGATTACGTCTGACCTTTTGGGGGTTCACGGACAGGTGAATTATAACAGCGTACATTACGGAGCTTTTGGGAGTTCATAAACTTACCCCACTTTTAGCTACTATGGCATATGACATAAAGGTCAGAGGATTCAATGGAAAAAGGCTTTTGACTGTACCTGAACAGCAGCTCAATGAATAATTTTAATTGGGACATTCTGCAAAGACACCCCTGGGTTAGTTGGGATGAAATCTTTATAGAAATCCAAATCAGGCGTGTGTAGTAATGTGTAAGTGGAATAAGTGTGAGAGGATATTTGTGATGCACCACATAAACTGTTCCCGATGTACGTAAATGCATGTATGCATGACAGAAAGATGGTCTCTTGATGTCTGAACAAACCTAAATTAAGAGCACACAGTTCACATTACCAGCAGCTTTAGAAACAGAGACATTTATTGGGCTTCCTGAGGACGTGATTTAAATCAGACAGAAGACAAAATCCATTTCATGTTGTATCACTCATTGCTTGATTAATTAAGGGACTGCATTTCTGATGAGTTCTCATGCATGAATGATTATAAGAAACTTGAGCCGTGTGTCTGATTTTTTTGTGGGGGGGACAGAAGGAAACGTTCTGACTTCTATATCGTGGGTGCTTGTATTGCCATGGCAGCTTATCATAGAACCTACACCATAAGATTTTAAATTGATCTATGAAGAAACAGTTTAGTTTCAGCTCATGCCAACACGGAGACACAAGCCCATTCCTCTTTCATCCAGATCAATTCAGAGTTTATTTCAGTTTGGGTAGTTGAAAGTGGGAACGATTCTGAAACAGGCCTTTAATGATGCATTAAAGAAGCTCGTGCATCCTTAATGACTGCGTTGTAACTCAACTCCTTTAAAACATTGAATTCAGTAGACAGAGTGGTACTGATACTGTTGAGGCATTGTCTTCAGAGGAGGAGCGTTAACAAGTACAAATGGCACTTTAACTTCATGTTTTCAGGCGGTTTCTGGATGTATCGGTCTAATTCTGCTCCTGCTGGAATCCTTAAAGTTTTTCACTGTGGGTGAAGCAGACAGTGTCGACTTGCAATTAGCTCTGCACATGACAGGAATGTCACTTACAGGGATGTTAAAGTTCCTATGGTGGGATGAATGGTAGTTTTGACGTTGTGGTTTAACTGAAGCTTGTATACATTGTCTCTGTTTTTTTACGTTTCAGCCGAACCATGCTTTGAGTTTGGCCTGGCTGGAGTTCTGGGAATTGCATTCGGAGGGTTCCTGATTGGAGTGTTACTTATTGGAGCACTGTGGTTCATCAAAATTAAAACAGGTAAATGTATGACTCAGGATACGCTGCTTCTGCTTGAATTTTAATGTGAACAGATTGTCTGGATTTAAAACGGTCACATTCTGTTCAACTCAGGGTACCCAACTGGACTGGACATGAGCTCGACTGCAGCCAGTCTTCCAGGTGAGGATTTTTACTTTTTTTTCAGCCGTTATTTTCTTTGTCATTAGGTTCTAATTGGCTTTTCTGTCTTCTTTCTTCAGGATGTCCCTGCTCAGGAGCAAAGCGACAACCCGTTTCCACCAACCCTTCCCCTTCTGAAAACAGCAGCGCCAACGCCAGCATTGGAAGCACCCAGAGCACACCGACCAGCAGCATGGCATGAGATGATGCTGTTCTCCACCAGCAGGGCCACCACCTCCCTTGAACGTCACCTATACGGGTTTTGTGCTTTTTCTTTTCTCTGTTAATGCTTTAAAAGCATTTCCCCCCTCCTGCCCTGCCCCATTTGAATTCTTATTAAATAAAAAAAGCACAAGCCATGTCTTTGACATACCACGTCTGGAATGGATGTGATCTGGGAGTTTGTAATCGTGGGTGGGGAGGCCTGGATGACGGCTAACTGAAGTCTAATCACTGGCTTCTGATGCTCACCTTTGCAGCCTCTCTGTAAAGTCGAGCTCTCAGACAGGAAGTTAAAAAGGGCAAGAGAAAAAAATTGGCTCCCAGCAACAGGAAAAACAAACCATATCCCCCAAGAGCTAACAGGAAATTCACCGCATTCCTTTGAATGAATTGTGCTTGTGTGATGGCAGCACAATAACAGTTAGACAGGAGACAAACCAGTCAATAGACTCACTTTGAAAAACAGATGAAAAGCTGTTTTGCATTCACATCTAAGCAACAAAAATATGAAGGTCAGTCCAAAATAATAAGAAAAAAAAACTTCTTCAACAACATCTTGGGGACTGAAAAGATCTTCACGGTAAGATCTCAAACAAATCAAAGTAATGGTCGCTTCAAGGGCTATTTGTCTTAATTGGAGTTTAAGGTTAATGGTTAACAGCTACCTCCTATTATGTAGAAGTCTGGAGCTAAGTTTCAACTTAAAACTAGATTTCTTTGGTGAATTGATTATTTTCTGCCTGTTTCATTTTTTTTTTTTTATTCTATGTCACTTTAGGTGATTCTTATTGACCCACTGGGTCATTTGTAGCTCACTGAACAAAGTAATGGTGCCATTTTTATGCTGTCCAATAAGTGTATCAGAGCCCTCATATTAACCCCCCACCCCAGCCACTGTTTATAGGAAGCTACAGAATAATATACTTCATTTACTAATTAATCAACAAAACCAGTTTAAAGTCGTATTTATGGTCCAAAGGTAGCAGTAAGTGTATAGCCCAATGAAAGACTCTTATTTATGTAAGCTCAGAAATCATCCCCCTTTGAAATGTATAGCACCACATGTAGAGATGTATGGCTGCATTCAGAGCTGAGAAACGTAATGAAGAATTATCCCCCAAACTGTGCACATCAGTGTCGAAACATCACGCTAAGATCCGGACTAAAGCGCCACTCACACAGCTATGACCGCAGGGTGGAGTTTCCCAAAAATAGTCTGTCTCTGAGGTAGAACTCCAGTTCTTTTCTGTTGCACAATATCCATTCTCACTAGAACCAATTTGCTGTAACCACAATTTTTTTTTTTTTTTTACCATAATTTCCACGTCTGTGCAAACACACACAAAAAAGAGCTTTATGTGCTGCTTTAACCCGTTTTAAGGCCGGTTTCATCATCACCCTTTAGACCCAGGTACAGCTGTGTATTCTACTTACCATTCAGAAATCAAGACTGTGACATTAAGTCCGGCTTACTTCCTCTTATTCAGTATTTTTTTATTCAAAATGTAGCCAGCTGCTAATGTGCTGCCCTATTTTGTGATTGATTATGATTTTATTCCCTTAATGGATGTTATGAATCACCAGGATTTTCCTTTGACAAACAAACCATTCCTACTCGCTGAAGAGGCGCCACCTCAATGAGGCCTTTAGGACTTGTTCCTCGAGGGAGGGGGACGTATAGATGCAATGAGTAGATTATATCCGTCCATCTACATCTAAATCTCCTCTCGTTTAACTTTTGACTTTTACCTTTTGAACTTAAACTGCCTATTTAAGTCAGCTCTGAATACAGCCAGTTTGCACTCTGCACGTTGATCAATACAACCAACACAAAGAAGACATCGGTCATCCGACTGTTGACGGCATCAGCACCGTTTCAAGAATTCAAATCTGGCCTTATTTTCATTTGTCACACGATTGTAATGATGTGGAAACTGTCATTTGAGAGCAATTAGTTTGTTGTTAAAATGATTAACTTGTGCTTTCTACATTTGATGGGCTGCATCAGCCACTGCAGTGCTAATGCGAGACATAAGCTGCATAATTGCATGACGGGGACTTTCAGGAGGGCTACAGCGACAGAGTGACGGTTGATCCGTGAACCCACTTTGTATTTCAGTGTACAAATGTAAATGTTTTTAGTATTTTTATTGCCACTCTTTGACCTCTTTTAAAAAATATTCCCCCGTCACACATCAAGTCTTGTTGTGTAAGTTAGCGGCAAAAAAAAAAGAACAAAAAAATCAGTTTGTATCCTCAGTACCGAGCATCGACACAAGCACCGAAGCTGTGATGTAAAAACTTTACCTTATATACACGATATACAACATATAGTCACATTCCGAGTAGTTATTCACCTTCTGATTTGGATTGTTAAGATAATTTAGTCACCTTCAAACGTAATATCAAGAATGTTCCAAACCAGTTGCATTTGTATTCCCCCGTCTCTCTCTTCATGCAGTTTGTGTTCATGTACGTTTTCTCTGTGCATGTCCGATTTCCTTTGTGTGTTTCTATGGAGGCATAGAACAAAGAGGGCCAGTACAAATTGCCACTTGAGTATTTGTGCAATATGATGAGGTAAACTTGTATGTAATGTCTATATGTCATTTGTACCATGTTTTTTTTTTTTTTTTCTCTTTTTGTAAGTGTTGTATGTATGATATTCTTCATTTGAACCAACCTGATTTGTTCTTTTATATATTTAAAGAACTGGGACAATTCCTAATCAAGGCACTTATCAAATGCACAACATTTGTTTTGTATAATAATCATGTTTTTTTTTTACTCTCATGTACTTTAGATTACACTGTAGACCGTGCGTGCCGCGTCGCTTGTCCGAGACATTCCATCCGTTTATTGGTTTTACCCCGTTTGACTTTTGTCCTCACCGTAAGGTTCCCCTGCAGTCCAAAAAACACTGCATATCTCTGCTAACTGACATCCTGACATTGTACTGTGTTCATTGTACTATCTTCAGTGGGTGTGATGGGGAAGTGCATTCTGAATTCTTAAGACAGGATGTCTCACCATAAAGTCGCATCCCAGTTAATATTCAGTACCCTGGCAGTTATCAGGATGGAACCTCATGAAAAAATAGGAAAAATGCAGCAATCAGTGAGAACTTCTTTTTTTTTTTTTTTCATTTAATTTTAGGATGCGGTTGCAGTATTAGACATATTCTTCTTCGTTTTATTTTTTATATGACAGGTATTCTGTGTTCAAGCAGCGCCGGTGACTGTCTGAGCACCGACAGTAAAATCAGACGGGCTGTCAATTAATTCACTTGTTAACCCTGCAGATCCGTTTGTTACCTCTGAAGAAAAAGCTTCTTGCTTCTCAGATGCTTTACACGAAATATGTGTGTCTGTTTGTGCATGTATACAGTATACGTGCTGTGTGTGTGGTGTGTGTGTGTGTGCTCACATATGTCTGCATGTAGGTGTACAATAGCAACTACGCCTACGTTTATGCCAGCAGATCCTTCCTCCAGACTCCATGTCCAAAATTCTGTATTCTTCCCCAAAACTCAGAAGTTGCTACAACATGTCAAAATCTCTGCTTTTATTTTATAATGTATAAGATGCAGTGTTATTTTTGTGCTAGAGTGGGCAGCCTTTTACCATTTAAAATGGGTCAATTTTTCTTTTTTTGAGACAGTACTCTACTGATGCCATGTATTTCTATGTTGTCTCAGAAAAGCATATGTTTTGTCTTAAATCATCTTAATAAAGTGAATTTGACAAACATTTTTTTTTACATTTTTGGGTATGTTTCTCATAGTCTCAAGGCACTGTAGTGAAGCTATGTACATGATGTGGTGTTGGAAGCTCCCAGGATACCCAGCATCTCCCAGGACAAGATCAGAGAGCAGTAATGCAGCACACTGACATGCAAAAAAGAGATAGTACAGGCTGTAAAACATATTCATGACCCCTGTGAAATCCTGGGAGCGATGAAAGATACAGTGCATTTAAAGCACATTTGCCAAAGTGTTTGATAGACAAATCGGTGAACATGCAGTACAAATATTACTTTACTGATCTTGTGTGCTGCATCTGCTGTGGAATTATCTGTTTCTTGCATGCAAGTAAGAGCTTCTTTTGCAGACGTGTGTGTCCTTGAGTCAAGACATCCACACTGGCACAAGTGTGCAGAGGGACTTCATAATATTAGAAACATCACTAATTTCACATTACTTTTCAATCCAAACAGTGGAGATGGTTTGTATTAATCCGAATAATAAGAGAGAGTCTCTTATAAAAAAAAACAAGACTTCTGTTTTTAAACAGGAGCAAAATGCTGCAATGTTTTCATTACCACATTATAAACATGTTAAAACCTGATTGTCAAAAGCATGCAACCAGCTGTGTGTCCTCAACTACATGATTAAAAACTGCATCATAAGAGTTAACAATCTCCAAAACATAATTTTTATACATCCATCCATCCATTATCTATACACCGCTTAATCCTCACCAGGGTCATGGGGGGCTGGAGTCCATCCCAGCTGACTCAGGATGAAGGCAGGGGACACCCTGGACAGGTCACCAGTCTATCACAGGGCTACACTTAGAGACAGACAACCAAGCACACTCAATTCACACCTACAGGCAATTTAGAATCACCAATTAACCTCAACATGTTTTTGGACTGTGTGGGAGGAAGCCGGAGAACCCGGAGAGAACCCACGTTGCATGGGGAGAACATGCAAACTCCACGCAGAAAGATCCCGGTTCCCCCACCAGGACGCGAACCGGCAACAGTGCTACCAACTGCGCCACCTTGCAGCCCAATTTTTATACATGATTAAACAAAATATATGTAAAAGTACTTAGGAAAAAGAAAAAGAATCCTTTTCCGTGTTATCTTATTATCTGCATATTGTTTAATTGAAATCGTATTCGTGATGCACTTATGACAAAATAGCTTTTTATAACGGTTGAGTTGGAGATAATTTTGTTTAATACCATCACCTGCAAAGGAAATGTGCTGCAGGTGATAAATAAATGTAATATTTCCCTCTGAAGTTGAGTAAAAGTATAAATCCATAGCAGAATGAAATACATATTTACTGTTGATACAAGTGTGTGTTTTACATTCAGTGGTGATGGAGTAGACGGGGTTCAGATTCCTAATATTCTGTATATCCTTTAAACATCGAAAACACCTATTACTTAAGCTTGAACAGTGGCAGATAAATAAAATTCTTGTTCTTATTACTAATGTAGAGCCCTAAAATTGTGCTCGTGTCTGAGTTATCGAGAGAAGATGCTTTGTCTGTTTTTCTGCTGCGGCAGACTCTGAGTCATGATCGACCTGAAACACAATGAGCTTAAAGAATGGAAAACATCATTCTCTAATGATGTTATGAGCCACATACAGTACAACCTTTATTGTTAGGTGAAATAATGAAAATAATGGTGTTTTCTCCGTCGGTGGCCTTTCCTTCGGTCTGAAGTCTTCCTTTTTACAAATTCAATCAGTGTTTTTCAGGAGTGGAGCCAAGGAACACAATACATGTTTATGGACAACCTTCGTCTCCAGATAGGACCATGAAACCGTTTGGCCTTGCACAGGATACATATTGTGATGCGTGTGTCTGTGTATATCCGTCTATGTGTGTGTGTGTGTGTCTTTTTAGGCTGTATGCGTCTCGGGACAAATCTATTCGTTTCTGCACAATTGTACCTGGTGAAATGTGCTATCTATGCACAAAGCATGCCACAATGGCCTCAGGGCAAAACCAGTTGTCACAGCTCTTTTCTACGAAATTAAGGTGTGAGTAAGGAAGAAAGGTTTTCCCCCCTTTCTCTTGACAGCATCATGCGGTCCGTGCGTGTTTATATGTAAATAAAGAAACAGATGTCAGCGTTGTGTGGAGCTGTGAGGATATATTTTCAGAAGAAATAGGGGGAGAAAAAAGAAAAAGTTGTTGTCGCCAAGGAGTTGCTTCCCGACTATATACATCATGCTGCGCTCAAGGGCAGCAGGAGTCAGGAACGCATTAATATTTAGCAACAGACCATTAGAAAAACAATTTCTTGTTCTGTCAACTTTGATGAGATTAAGAAGTAATAGATGGTAATCATTAACAAGCTTACTTAGCCTCACCTGATGATAAGAAATGTCATGATGCAGTAATAGGATCAGGTTCATCTTCTTCTATGTGGACACATTATTCAAAACCTTTAGGAATTATTAAACAGGGGCGAATTTCAGCTACAGTGTTTGTATGTTTTCTGCGCATTTTCTGTACAGTAATACAACTTTTGCTCTTCATGTGTTTTCATCACCACCATATATTAATAAAACATACATTTTGTGATTCCAGCATGCAATGAGATGTAATTAATAAGATGTCCACTGTGGTGCAGTACAAAGAGGGCGAAACAGACTGCAAAAAGAAAAAGGACTCTGTTCAAATATTCACTTTAAGAATGGAAGCAGAGTTGTCGGCTTGTAAAACAGAATAAAAACAACTGCCTGATATCTCTTTATACACCTTTAAACAAACAACTATGAGTTTTTAATTGCTAGAAATTATTTATTTGGTTCAGTGTTGTCATGAATAAACAAATTACACGATTAATCAGCCACAGAAAATGTTCTTATCTTTCAATCTCCTGTGGAATAATATATTTCACTTTTCAAACAAACTGCTTCAACAAAATACAGTGCAAATAGAATAAAAACAAGTGAGCAATCAGTAAGTACGAATGGGAGAAAACGGGTGCAATAAGAGTTTTAACATATTCTTAGATTAACAAAGACTTAAATACGGCGAGATAAATGCCATGCGTCTAATTACACATCCCTGAGCAAAGCTTTAGCACTCAACAATCCGTCTGTTGTGTAGAGGTTGACCAGCGCCTATGAAGAAATTAAAAAGATAAACTATCTCAGCAGCTTTCATTATAGTGTTAAAATTGCTGGTAACGCCGCGTAACGATTGGCTGCAGGGAGACGTCCCGTTCAATTTAATTACCCGGATGACTGGATTTCTGCTGGCCGCCACCAGATGGTGCAATATTTTTTTTATTTTTCTTCCGAGTGCACAGCTTGAATCGGCCGTGAACAGAAGAAGAGAATGAGCCTTCTTGTGAAGCAAAGTGCCCAGAAAATTCGCAGAGAAACCTGAATAAAATCAATAATGAAGCGATGGAGGAATGCAGTGTGGAAGGAAATGAAAGGCTGGAATGCACCATCATGCCGCTGCCTTTATAAAACACATTTCTGACCACGCATGTCAATGATCTGATTTGGACCGCATGCATTTGAATGCCGCATCATTACGTCTGTGTGTTTAAGCACTTTTCATAGAATTCGGTAACAAATCTGTGACTGATCCTGACATGAAGCCTATAAAGCCTTAGGGCCATGTTGAATTCAGGAAGCTACATCTGAGCATAACTGAAGCTGCTCGGAGTAAGCCGTCTCTCCCTCAGACTTTCACACCCTGAGGCGCTGTGCTGCACACAAGGTTGTTTACACTCTTCAAGACTTTGTACAGGCTCAGCCTCTCTCCTCATCTCTCACCCAAACTCAGACATTCACTCTCTCACAAGCACCCATACACTTCCCCACACCTCGCTGAGTATCCACAGCCTGGTCCGGAGTAATCCTCCAACTTATAGGCAGTGCTGTGTGCTCAAAGCAAATCCCATTCCTTTAAAATGCAGACACCTCTGAAGCTGATGTTTGACTAAAACACCTCAGAGGTGACTCAGCACAGCTTTTTCTTCATTCAATGTTTGCTCCTTTTTGCACCACACCCTGCTCACCTACATGTTATAATTGCTTATGTTAGTAGGAAATACAACTATTTTATTTATTTTTTTGCAGTAGCTGTAAATGCAGCAACAACCTGGGGGACTGTTTTTAACGTTATGCAGTCATATCTTATGTCTACAACAAAACTGCATACAAATTCATGAGTACCATTTAGACGACTTTTTCCGTTTTTGTCATAATTATGCAAAGATCGCTCACATTAAAACAACAACGTGCACACTGGAGGTCAATGTGCACCAATCAGGAAGGTAAAATGTGTAAAACTGTTCTTTTTCCTGTGATATAATGTCTTACCCTCCTCCGACTGACTCCCCACTTGTGCTAAGAACAGTTGCACCAAGTGCCACCTACTATAAATCTGAGCAGCCTCAACTGGATGAGAAACAAAAAAGGTCCCCACTCCTGGTGACGTTTTACCTCCGCGTAACCTTCTCCTCATCTAAAATTGCCAGGTTGTCAGGGATGCGTCGACTGAATCCTCCTTCAAATTAGATCCCCAGAAGTAGCGCCTGGAGCAATGCATTTTAAACTGCTGTAAAAGGCAGGTCTGACATCCTCATGTGTCACGGAGGAGGCATGACTGTTAAGTGTATTGATTGAGTCAATACAGTTGCGGGAGCGGGGGGAAACGGTTCTGTCTCCTGCAACTTGCAGAGATGCCATTATTGTACACATTCAGCTGCACCTAACCGGGTAATTTTCGGAGTAATCTAGCTTACTCAAGTCTTTTCCTTTTGCATTTGCTTTTAGAAAAAAAACGACTAGTGATAATGTAATCGAAAGAAGAGCCCTGGAGCACAGTTCTGTTGACTTGCTGGACACCTGGACTCCAACATAAGCTGACAGTTGTACAAGCACGGGTGGGTTTTTCGTTGGCCGTGCTCCACTGTTGCATAAGCTAAGGTAGCGTTTTCTTTCTGTTCTTCAGATTCCACCTCACCTTTGTTTTCAGAGT